ACCGCTTCGTCTTCAGCCATCAAGGGACCCATCTGTGCCCGCACCAAGTCACTCCGGCGAAGGGTCACTTTTACGTCTGAGTTGAGAGATGGAAAAACGACCCTACCCTGGATTACAAGTGCGTGGTCTGTAAACCTCCTGGGAACCCCCAAAGCCTGGAGCTGCCAGGACGCGGCACATCACGCAGGGTTTACCCTGTCAGCCCACAGGAGTTTCAGCGCACAGCGCCTCGTAAACCAGGGTAGGGGCCTTTTTTATGCCCTTGAGTCTAGGCCATGGTGGCCGTGGTCGTGGTCGCCCTGGCCGCGGTGGCCGTGGCTGTGGTGGCCGTGACCGTGGTGGCCGTGGCCGTCGTGGCCGTCGTGGCCGTCGTGGCCGTGGCCTTGGTGGCCTTGGTGGCCTCGATGGCTGTCACTCTGGCGAGGGGTCACTCTGACTCTTGCGTCTGGTCGAGCATTTCGGGCGTCCTGAAGTCTGTGCTCCGACGAGGTACGATTCGGCCACGCTCGTCGTCCCGGCGGCCGCGGCGTCCGCCAGGCTTCGGCCAAGAGCTCAACCTTAGCCTTGGCGGTGTACTTCGTTGTCGTTCTGTTCTCGGTGTTCTCTGGTTTCGCCTTCGATGCGCCTTGACCGCACAACGAGATCGAAACGGACACGACGGCCCACGGAATCGCTTAAAACACCGTGTGGGTCCAGCCCTGTCTGTGTGCGTGTGTGTCCAGCCAACACAGTCAACCCGTCTAGTAGGGATGCGCGATAAAAGGGGTGCAAGGGCCTCGGAGGCCCGTTTTTCGAAGCTTCTCGCGCGGGGCGCGGCCCACGAAAGCGGCCAAGGCGGGACCGAGGAGGCAAGGATGCACGGGTACCCTTGGGAACGTTGCCCATCCTCCCCAGGCGGGTTGACTGCATTTCAAGTGTGTGTGTGTCTTAGGACGTAACTGCTGGGAGGCCTTCGTCGGCAGGATTCAGCGGTACGCCGGAGAAGGCCTCGGATGAACCGGGGACGAGCGGGATTGAACGGTATCAGGCCGGCGGGATTTCGGACCAGGGTAACATCAGAATCTGACCTCCCAGGAGTTGCGTCCGAATGTGTGTGTGTGTATGTGGCCGCTCAGCGCCGCCCCCCCCCCCCTGACACAACTGGCCAGGGGGGCCACGACTCGGGCTATGGCTCCCGCGACCAGCGGGGAGAGGGGGGGGGGTCAGGGAGAGAGGCACGCGGCGGGAGGGAGGCGCAGGGGGGGGGGAGAGAGGAGGGCGGGGCCGCGGCAGAGGGGAGGGGCGGGGTCGAGGTGGGGCAGGAGAGTAAAACAGGGCTAGGATCGGGATAAATCGCTCCAGAGCGTTCCGGAGCGCTCTCAGAGCGTTCCGGAACGCTCTGGAGCGGCCGCGGCGTCCAATACATCCTCCAAACCCGCCGATGCTCAGAGATTTCGAGTTATCCCGATCCGATTTTGTCCCGATCTTCGCGTCGTTAAAGAGAGCCCAGAGTCGAGCCGACAGCTCGGACCGGCCATGGACGTGCATCGGATCGGCGGAGATCAGCGGCCAAAGGGGGGAAGGCCGAATCGGAGGACATCGGCGGGCGAGTATGCCTCCGAAGAGGAATCGGAACTCGGATCGGAATCCCAAGTCGAATCGAATGCGAATCGGAAGCCATCGGAGTCGAATCGAATCGAATCGGAGGAATCGAAACGAGCCCTGGTGGCGGAGCTTTTGTTCCAGAAACCTCGAGCTCACGATCGCAAGTGCCTTCGCAGGGGGCCACGGCCTGTGCGTGGGCCGCGTCCCCGGCTCCACGGAGCGGCCACTGCAGTCCTTCTCACGAGAAGGGGGGGAGGGGAAGGGGAGACGGGTGGAGGAGGGAGAACGGGATGGGGGGGAGGGGCAGCCAAAACCATGAGGGGGGAGGGGAATGGGAGACGGATGGAGGAGGGAGAACAGGAGAGGAGGGGAGGGGGGCAGACAAGCTAGGTGCGCTCGCGTCATATCTGACGTCCTACCCCTCCCTCCAATCCCTTACCATGGCGCTGATTTTCTCTACCCGCGGACGCGTGTCGTAGCGGACCTGTGGCTCCGCGCGCGCGTGCGTAGTGGGTGGTGGTGCGCGTGCGTGCGTGCGTGCGTGTGTGCGTGGTTGTGGTGCTGGTGCGGCTGGTGGCGATGGGCGCGCGAGACCCGCGCTGGGGCGAGAACGCCATCCTGAACGACGGAGGCCAAACACCGATCCGAAAATGAGGCCCACGCTGCAGCGGGAGCACGATTCGGAACGATTCGGGAGCAGAAATGAGGCCGGCGCCTCAGCGAGAGCAGCATTTTGAAAAAAAACGCAGGCGAAAACCCGTTTCCCGGGAATCCTGTGTGTAAAAAACAATACGCGGGGGGGGGTCGGCCATCTTCGGGACGCCATCAGGGGAAGTGGGAGAGTATTTTCATATTGTGTAATTGTAGAAGCCATGACAAGAAGGGCGCGCACGCGCGCGCGCGAACGCCCGGGTGGAGCGGCAGAAGTGGGCGACCTGGGAGCGGACGGGCGCCGCATGCCCGTCTCCACCCATTGGAGGCCTCCCGGATGGCGTCGGAGCAGATGGGGTCGGAGGATCGCGCCGCGTCGCCGATGCATCGGTGATGCATCGGCGACATCGGCGAGGCATCGGTGGCGTCGGCGTGGAGAAACTTGGGCTCCGCCTCGAGCCGCATCGGCGATGCGGCGCGATCTTCCGACACTTTCTGCTCCGACCCCATCCAGGAGGCCTGGGCCTAGAGCCAAGTCGGGCGTGGCCCTCTACAGAGGGAATGCTCAAGAAGAGTCAAACACTATTATGGGGTCGAACATTTCTGCTCTTTGTGAATATGTCTTATTAACCTTCGTCAACAGCCCACCTGTAGGAGGACATGCCCGACCTAAGCGTAGAGCATGCCCGTCTCCCCCCACCCCGTCAACCTCCCCAGCAGAACTCCGGCGGACCTTTCGACCTGGGCAGCCCTCGTCCCCTGCGGCCTCCGAGGGGCGTGTCTGGGCCCCGGGGTCGTCAATATCTTGTGGCCGCGGTGCGAGGGACGTCCTCCAAGTCAGGGGCCCGATGGTGAGCTCTGTGGGCAGATGCCGCTCACATGGGGGCCGAGTGCGCAGATAGGGCTGGATGATCGCGCCACATCGCCGATGCATCGGCGATGCACCAGCGACGTCGGCGATGCATTGGCGATCTCGGCGAGTAGAACGTCGGGCTCCGCATCGAGCCGCATCGCCAATTCATCGGCGATGCAGCGCGATCCTCCGAACACATCTACTCGGACCCCAGTTGCGAGGCCTGGAATGGAGTCTCAGCCACCACTCGCACTGTTCTGTGCGACGGCAACCACACCTGTGTGCGGCGAGCCCGGCACCAAACTTCCCCGAACATGTTGCCGCGCCTGGTACCCGACACCGGGCGGGCAACACGATTTCTCAACCGATGGTCTAGGGGCCGATAGAGACGAATTGACCCATCATCATCATCATCATCATCATCATCATCATCATCATCATCATCATCATCATCATCATCATCATCATCGGCAACATCTGCATCATCATTCTCATCATCATCAGCATCATGAGCGGCAGCATCAGTACCATCATCATCATCATCGTCATCATCAGCATCATCATCCTCATTCTCAGCCTCACCATCATCATCATCATCAGCAGCAGCAGCATCATTATCACAAGCATCATCATGATCATGATCATCATCATCATCAGCAGCAGCATCATCATCATCGCCATCACCATCATCACCATCATCACCACATCACCATCGTCATCATGATACTCTTCATCATCAGCATCAGCATCAGCATCAACTGCATCGTCATCATCATTATCATCACAGTTCTCATCATCAAATCCATACACACCATCATCATCATAAGACTCGTTAGTATCACCACGGGCATCATCATCATCAGAATCAGCATCATAATCGTTGTCAGTTTCATCATCAGCAACATCAGCATCAGCATCGGCATCGGCATCATCAACAACATCAGTATCAGCATCAGCATAAGCATCAGCATCATCGGCATCATCAGCATCATCATTATCAACAACATCAACATCAGCATCATCAACATCATCACCATCTTCGTCTCCATCGTCATCATCATCATTATCCACCACACCGTCACCATCACTATCACCATCATACCCGTCTTATGTCCTCAACCATCCCAAGATGATTGATCCAGACACTACAACCATAATTACCACAACTGGTTGTCTGTCTTCCTACCCAGGCATCCAAAGCCTTGATTTGTTTCAGTGCGCGGCCCCACGACGCCCCGACCCCATCCGCGGGACCGGCTTGTCATACCGAGTCAATGTTGCTGGTCCCAGGGCCACCATGCAAGGCCCCGGGAGGCCGCAAACGGGGGACATCTCTGCTCTGAATGTTTCAAGCTCTTTGGGGGTCTGGGTGGGACATCGGGCGGGTGAAGGAAGGACGGGTGGGTGAATGACATCGTCTCGTCATCCTGGCCACTGCGGGGGACTGGAATTGTTGACCTGCTGGAGGTGCACTCCCTCCCGGCCTCCCTGGAAGTGGGGCTCGTAAAGCGGGACTCGCACAACGTGCAAGAAAATGAATCAAATTAGACCATGCGACGCGCCTGATGCGCTAGCAGGAGAAAGGACGGAGGAAAAGGAGGAGGAGGAAGATGAGGAGGAGGAAAAGCCTCAAGATATTTTCTGTGCAGATAACCTTGAACTAAATGCCACGTCAAGGAAGAGTCGCCAGAATCCGCTGGCTGTTCAAAATGCTCATGCTGAAACGTCCATCGACCGCGAGATCCGGCGGCGCGAACTTTCCGAGATACGGACCTCTTGAAAATCGGCGTCTCATCTCGAGCCTGCTCTGTTGACGCTCTGGGGCCCCGGAGTCGGCCTCCAGAAGGCCAGAAATGTGGAAGGACACTGGCCGCCTCGATCTCCTCGAGCAGCTGGATCTCTGAGATCCTGGGCCCCCGACCGAGGAGGACGACCACGACGACAGAGAACCAAACAATGGCACGAACACGAAACCTCGGAGGTCCGCGCCGATTTCTCGGATCGGCGCTGGACCACCACCCCTGGCGCGCGGAGCACGTCAGGGGCGGCGACGGAGGCGCCGCCAGGGGGCCCCAGCGCGGATCCGAGGAGTCCGCGCAGACCTCCGAGCTTTTGGCTTTCTGTCGCTGCTCACTCCCCCAGACGGCGCCGCAGACGACGGCTGCTCCGCCAGAGGGCGGGACCTCCCTGCCGCCGTGCCCGTCGAACACGGCGAAGAGGGACAACCCCGCGCACTCGCCGCCTGCCCGCCCCCCCCCCGTTTCCACCTCGTCCGCCTCCCCTGCGGCAGGGCGGCGCGTGCCGCGCCGCGCTCCACGGTGGAAGCTGCGGGCAATGAAGGTACCAAATACCCACTGCGTCTTGGACTCTCAGGGACCGTGCGCCACAAGGCCGAGGCGCACTGGACACACGAGTCCTCCTCACGTTTCTCCGTCCCCGTCCCCTTCGACATACTATTCCTCCTCTTCCTCCCCCGCACACCTCCTGACCTCCTCCTCCTCCTCCTCCTTTCCTCCTCCTTCTAACTAAGTTATCCCTGCCGCAGCCAGAAGCAAGCTTTAGAGCGGGCCGGGCATTTCGCCTGAAACTTACCCGCCACTTACGACTCTGAAGCTTCAAACTTAAGAACAGCTTCGCAGATGTATGGCGGGTGATTTTCAAAATATGGCTCTCGCATTAGCGCCGCGCGCATTCGTCTTAAAACATTGCAAGAGGTTCGCGTATTGAGGGCGGGTGGTCTTCAGCATGTGGCTCTCGCCGTATGGCCGCGCACACTGCTCCCCAAAAATGGCAAGGGTTTCGCGGATTGAAGGCGGGTCGTTTTCGATTGTGGCTCTCGCTTGGGCGCCGCGCCAACTCGTGTTAAACATTCGCAAGAGCTTCACGGATTGGGGGCGGTTCCTTTTCAACATGCGGCTCTCGCCTTCACACCGCGCGCGCACTCGTCTTACGATACCGCAAGAATTTCGCGGAACCCCACGAACAAAACTTACCAAGAATATTGTTTTGGAAGGACTCCAGCTTATAAGGATGCACGAAGTATGTTGGTTCGCTGCGTTCAGGTCCCAGGAATTGCGTTCTGGAGCAATTCAGGATCGTCCAAGCGCAACAAGCAGGTTGATCCGTGGCCTTGAATCCTGAGAACAATGTCTTCGCATGCTTCAGGGTCTTCGCAAACAGTTGTTTTCCAACGAGGCTGTTCATTTAGTAACAACGATACGTTGTAGGGGCTTGTGATCAAAAGGGAACTTGGAGGGAGGGTGTATTCCAACATCGTCGCGGGTTTCCACTGGTCCTCCTCCTCCTCCTCCTCCTCCTCCTCCTGCTCCTCCTCATCCTCCTCACCCCCTCCTCCTCCTCCCGCCTGCCCCCCACAAGCGCCTCCTCCAGAGGCCCCCCGAGACACGGGCAATAGCTAACTGCCACAAATCCTCGCGACACTTGATCCTCGATCATTCACTCTCCCTCCCCTCATCCTCCGCCCCCCCCCCCACCCCCCCGAATTGGAAGAAGGAAAGCACTGCTATCACCAGCGCGGGGAGCCAGTGTGGGGGGTCCTCCTGGTGAAGTGGGCCCCCTTGCCTCCTCCTCCTCCTCCTCCTCCTCCTCCTCCTCCTCCTCCTCCTCCTCCTCCTCCTCCTCCTCCTCCTCCTCCTCCTCCTCCTCCTCCTCCTCCTCCTCCTCCTCCTCCTCCTCCTCCTCCTCCGCGCGCGCGCCACCTCGGGCAGTCCTGACCCCTTACACTCTAGGGGGGCTACTGGGGCTCACGAGCTCCCTCTGGACCATCCTCGGAGGCCTGGGGGGGGGAGCTGCTCCTTGGTGAGCTTCAAAATGGCCTTGTGCCCCCCTCTCTGACTGTTGCGGGGTGGGGTGTACTGCTCTTCGAATTTCCTGGAGGCCCTTGCCCGCCAACACCCACACCTCCGACACCACAGGACCTCACGCACACAGCAAGGTGGGGTCGGTGGCTGGGGTGGGCGGTGGGGCTTCCACCATCCGCGGGGGCAAGGGCGACCTCCTGCCCTGCCCCTGGCGGGGAAACGACTGCTCCGCCTATGCAGGCAGAACGGAGCCATCGCGAGCAGCACCTCCTGTGGGTCTGCTTCCCGCACCTGGCACAAGAAACTTGGTCCTCGTGGGCCAATGGGAGGCCACCTCTGACAGATACTGGAACGCTTTGTCGCTGCGCTCCCTCCGCTGAACTCTCTTTGTCTCAGCCCTCCTCCTCCTCCTCCTCCTCCTTTTCCTCCTCCTCCTCCTCCTCCTCCTCCTCCTCCCCTCCCCCTCCCCCCTCCCCCTCCTCCTCCCCTCCCCTTTCCCCTTGCCCCTCTTCCCCTCCTCCTCTTCCTCCTTTTCCTCCTCTTCCTCGTTCTCCTTCGCCTCCTCCACCTCCTCCTTCGCCTCCTCCTCCTCCTCCTCCTCCTCTCCTCCTCCTCCTCCTCATCATCATCATCATCATCAGCATCCTCCTCCTCGGACCCTCGTCGCAGCATTCCTTTCACGTGGATCCTCCATCCTCCCGTTCCCCCACCCTCCCAAAGACATCTCCCATCTCCTGTCCCGTTGCAACCTGCCCCGCCTCCCCCCCCCTCGCCCTCAACGCGCCCTCTGCCCACACCCGCCGGGGAGGAACAACGCTCGCGTGGACACGTCGCTGACGATTCCCAGCCACTTTGATGATGCTGAGCTACACTGTCGATGCCTCGCTGCCCTGGGGCTTTACTGTTCTATTGCTCCCTAGGGCAGCGTCGCGAACGTGCGCGGAGCTGCACTGTGCCAATGCCACGCTCTTCCTGTAGCCTTGCTGCGCTCCTGCTCTGAACGCGCACCGCTTCAGGCGGTGAAGAACTTGAGATAGGGGCACAACCAACGACATACACATATTACACCTGAGAAGACCCCAATCAGTGAATGATTTGAAACTTGATACTGTGAAGCTTGAGATCGATTGTGAGGTCGATATTGAGATCGATAGTGTAATCGATAGTGAGGACGATTGTACGGTCGATCGTGAGACCGAGAATGACATTGATTCCATGAGATCGATAGTCAGATCGATCGCGAGATCGTTCATGCGATCTCTAGTGAGATCGCTTGTGATATTGATAATGAGATCGATGGTGAGATCGATCGAGAAATCGGTAGTGAGCTCGATGGTGAGACCCATCGATCAAAAAATCGACCAAAAACCCGGGAACGCAGAAACCTCGCCGCCCTCCGAAATCGGCCCAAAACCCGGAACCGGGATTCCAGGAACCCGGGAACCTGGAATTCCGGGAACCCGGGAACCCAGGAAGCCACCAAAATCGGCGGGGAACTTTCGCCAAATCCTTCAGCTTCCGCTAGGACCCCTTCAGTGCAAGCACTGACTGTGGAACAACAACTCGGTTTTCTGGAATTCAAAAACATCTGGCTTCTGGATTCTAAGAGACCAGGAACAAACACTGACATGCACATGAAAACTCCGAGCACCGCGCGGAGTTCCTGGATCGGCGCTGGGAACCCACCCTCCCTGGCGCGCGGATCGCGCGCCAGGGGTGGCGCCGCCAGGGGGGCACCGGCGCCGATCCGAGGAGCCCGTGCGGAGCTGATTTTTTTCTTTGATGTCACTGCTTGCTCCCCGATGTGACATCCACCCTACAAAAAGCCCCACTTCCCCCCCCCCGATGGGGCAACGATAGGGGGCAGGCATAGGGGGGGGGCACATCGTCCTGGAATCGGCGATGCCTCGCACATAGATCGGCGACAGGCTCCCGATCGTGAATCCGCACGTTCCTGCACAGGTCAGGGCTGTCGGGCCCCGATCGGCGATCAATGGGCGAGTGGGGGTCGATGCATCCCCCCTATGCCCATCCCCCTCCTATGGTTGCCCCTGACATCCCCCGCTGCCATCGCTCCCGGGTCCATTCCCCGTGCATTTGTCGAACCCGTGCGTGTTTGTTGTGTGCTAGATATCGGGAGCGGCCAAGAGGGGGGTGTCCAAGAGGGGGGGTGCAAATCATGACCGGCGGCATGTGCGCGGCCCAGCGGGGGGGCCAGGGACGTAATGAAACAAGAAGGGGCGCCATGAAATCTGGGGAAATATCATGGCCCACGCCATGAGATCCCCCCCCCTAGTCATCACCCCCCTCTTTTCCGCCCCCGAAGATAACCCAGGCTGCTCCTTGGTTTGGATGCTCGTTCTGGGGACCTTCCTGGAGCCACTCGCTCCACTCGTGCGTCGAAGCTGCGTCGAGCACCAGTCGATTTGGGTCGACCCTGAGTCGAACCTGAGTCGAACCTGAGTCGAACCTGAGTCGAACTTGAGTCGAACTTGAGTCGAACTGGGGTCGCACAGATCCGTTAGGTGGGCTCCAGGAAGGTCCCCGAAACAAGCATCGAACTTGGTGGTCCTCGACCCCCCTCTTTTCCGCCCCCGAAGATAATTGGTAATCCCCAAACGTGGTGGTGACAACACCTGGCGGTGAGTCTCGGGCGATTTGGTGTCACCACCCGGTTTGGGGACTCGTGCGGTTTTCCGAGGATGTCCCGAACACTGGTGGGTCCAGGAGTCACAAAATCCGGTGGTGACCCCGTGTCCCCAAACTCAGCGGTGACCTTTTGGGGGATTCCAGGTCGCCACCTGGCATCTCACCACCCGGTTTGGGGGTTCCCAAGATAACCCAGGCTGCTCCTTGGTGGTCCTCGCCGGGAACCGCTGCACGCGTCCGAGCGATGCCCGGCGCCACCCCCCTCCTCCTCCTCCTCCTCCTCCTCCTCCTCCTCCTCCTCCTCCTCCTCCTCCTCCTCCTCCTCCTCCTCCTCCTCCTCCCCCCCTTCTTCCGAGGTCTGCCACCGCGAGGTGGGCGTCCTCCTGCGACCTGCGCCAGCCCTGCGCGCCGCGGAGGGGCGCGGGGCGGCGGGCAAGAGGCGGGCGGCGCCGTCCGTCTGCCTCCTCCTCCGCTTCCACTTCCGCCTCCTCCCTCCTCCTCCTCCTCCTCCTCCTCCTCTCTCCTCCCCCTCCTCCTCCTCCTCCTCCTCCTCCTCCTCCTCCCTCCTCCTCCTCCTCCTCCTCCTCCTCCGCCTCCTCCTCCTCCTCCTCCTCCTCCGCCTCCGCCTCCTCCTCCTCCTCCTCCGCCTCCGCCTCCGCCTCCTCCTCCTCCGCCCCCGGCGGCGCGCCCGCGGGGGGCCGGCGCAGGGCGAGAAAAGACGCCACGACGCCCGTCGATGGGAAGAAGCGGGCAGAAGGCCCGAAGGCGTGCCCGAGCAGATTCGGGTCTCCGCCCGCCCCCTGGAGGAGGGGAAGGGGGAAAGCCGCTCGACCCCTGGAGTGGGAAGGCGCCCGAAGGAGATTGGGATCCGGGAACTCAAGAGGACTAGCTTTCAGCGACCGGCGGGTAAGAGTTGGCTCAAAATACGTTCCGGAATTTCCAATAGTATCTAGCGGCACAGCCGGTGCGGAACAGTAGGAAAGATGGGGAATCCTGGAAACCTTTGAGATCCTGGAGCGTATCATTGTCATGACATCTTGCTCCTCTGAATGCAGAAGGTCTATCCGCCACCGTGCCTCCTCGCACGTGTGGGGCGAGGGCAGGATGCCAGGTGCTGTTTGGCAAGGCTTCTGTAGTAGAAGAAGACAAAGAGGCATAGACAGAAACTTTAAGCGCTCCGCGCGGATTTCTTAGATCTGCATTGGACGCCCCTCCCTGGCGCGCCTCCGGCGAGCTCTGGCGCGCCAGGGGCGGCGCCAGAGGCGCCGCCGAGAGGGGCCCAGCGCAGGTCCCAGACATCCGCGTGGAGGGCCAAAAGTCTATGTCTATGCTTTTGCTTGCGCTTCGATTCCAGGGGACACCCCCCCGCCACGCCAACCGCAGGTCGGGCATGTCCCCCTACAGGCGGATGTGGGAAGAACACTGAACAAATGCAATTTCTATATCTATATATATATATATATATATATATACACATATGTATATATAATCCAATATATTCAAAAATAGCCGAAACATCACCCACATACTATTTTTGAACAGTTTTTGGATGTTCTTCGTTCGTGTGAGGGACCCAACCTGACGCCAACGTCCGCACCCCGCTGCGTGCAGCACCCCTCTTCCCGAGGCCACGCTCCCCTGCATAGCGGCGGCAGGCTCGTGCCTCCCCAATGGCCAGGCGCCCCCCCCCCCCCCACCGCCCGGGCATGCCAGCCGCGCCGGCACCGCGGCGGGGCGGCCGGGAGGCGGCCGGAGGTCCACGCCCCCTGCGCCCTGAGGGGGCTGTCTGGCGAGGGGCGCCGAGAGGCCGAGGCGCAGTGGGTGGGCCCTGGCAGGAGGCCTCCGAGAGGTCCTCCATAGAGGCCTCCTAGATGGGGTCGGAGTACATGGGGTCGGAGGATCGCGCCGCATCGCCGATACATCGACGATGCATCGGCGATGTATCGGCGATGCATCGGCGATGCATCGTCGACGTCCCCGATGCATCGCCGACGTCGACGTGAAGCAACTCGGGCTCCACATCGAGACGCATCGCCGATGCATCGGCAATGCGGAGCGATCCTCCGACCCCATCTACTCCGACCCCATCTAGGAGGCCTAGACTCCAGGAGGGCCCGAAGAGGCTAGAATAGTTGACGTCATCCGGTTGTTGCAAGCTTTCCGTGTCTGTTCCTCTTCGGCGGGACGAGCACCTGGCCTCCAGGGGCCAGATGCTTGCCCACATGCACTGCGCATCTGGTTTCCGGGGGGAGGGGGCCCGGCACTCCAGGGCTCGGCGGGTGTGTATGGCACAGGGCTGCACCGCGTCCCCCCGCAGGGGGGGGGGGGGCAGGCAGGCAGAGGGGGCGGGCCTCCGCAGACAGCGCAGACCCCTGAGGCTCTTGCTGGGCCTTCTCCGAAGACGCAAGCCTGGCCATCGCTCGGACGTCCATTTCCAGTGTTTTTTTGTGGTTTGGTGCGTGGTTGTTTCGCCAAATGATCAAGGAATGCTCCTCGATGGTCCTCGCCGAAGAAAAAACGCACACGTCCGAGCGATGCCAAGAAGACGCAAGCGGCTTCTCGGACGGCGCGGGGGCTGCCGAGAAACCCCGCCGCCTCCTGAGAAGGCGTGCCGCCTCTCACTGCCTTCCTCCTTCGGCGCGCCGCCGGTCCTCGTCCACACCGTCGCGGTCGTCAACATCATCGCCGTCATCGCCACCGTCATCGCCATCGACATCGGCATCGGGGGTGCACAGTGTGAATCAACACATGTACGCATAGACATGTATGTATGAACGTGTGTGTAATTAGATATGTGTATATATATATATATATATGTGTGTCTGAAGACAGGGAGAGAGAGAGAGAGAGAGAGAGAGAGAAAGAAGAGAGACGTTAACTAAGTGTGTGTAGAGGGCTTGCGTGTCGAACAGCGAAGTTTAGCGGGTGTTGCGTAGGGAACCTAGGAGTCTCTCGGTCGCAATACGCCCGATGCACGTGCAAAGCAACACCCTCGCATGCGTGGGTCGCATGCACCAGAGGGAAGCTGCATGGGTACAGAGACGGGCCTACTGCACAGGTGGACTCCAACCACACAAATCATGCGAACACAATTGCACAGACTATGTGCAATCACATCATGATTAGATGCGACTGTGCGAGTGAGAACCACAAATTTGCCGAACCACAGAAAAGAAGAGCGAATGTTTTCACGATCGGCTGCAGGAGACCGACCCATGGACTTCTCCGGAGTTTGCAAACTCTGCAGGGGCGCACCGATACCTGGAATGCGCTGGGGAATTAACAACATCATGAACACCCCACCGACTGCGTACATCACAGTATTCAGTTCGGTATGGATCTCAACACTAGGGGTAAATGTTCAGGTCTATCTCACGGACACCGCAATGAACTGCACTTTGTCAGCCATGCTTCGGTTGCGCCGCCCAGCGGGGGGTACTATGATGCCCGAGACCAAACTAAATATGTGGATCCCGCTGCCCAAACAATGTCTTAACCACCGAACTCGCGCAATGTCCGCCAGAATTTCAGGTACATGCTACGAATCAAATAAAGAACCCTCCCCCGCTCAGTTATCTTGCATCAAATCGCTAGCGCAACGACCTATCGAGAACCGTACAAGGGCAGCTCGCCAACGAGTCGGCAAGGTGGGGGCTCTATCAACCACTGGCAGCTAGGGTGAGGACAAGCAGTCAGAGCTGTCTGGTACGATAAAACCCACGACAGAACAGCATCCTTCGAGATCACGAGACCCTCTGCCGGCCCAAACTGAAGAACACTCGAGGGTGCCCTCCCCCAGGAGGCACCAGAGCATCCAACAGGCACGGATCAGGAGGAAAAGAAACACACAGACACAATTAATCGGCGATTCCCCAGAAAATATGGGAAAATATGGGAAGTGGGGGGGAAGACAAAAACCCAGAAAGTATGGGAAAATATGGGGAATATTTTTATTTGTGTGTATTTATTTGTGTGTCCTGGGGCCCCTTCAACGGAGAACACCAAGGCTACCCTCCCCGAAACCGACCTCGACCTTCTGCCTCGGCCCGACCGTGCCCGCCGCGGGTGGCCGCGAGCCGGCGCGCCGGGAGCGCTCCTGCATGCTGGCGTACCCGAAGTGGAGGCCATTGCCGCTCCCGCAGCCGCACTCCTGCGGCGCTGCAGGAGGAGGAGGAGGAGGAGGAGGAGGAGGAGGAGGAGGAGGAGGGGGAGGAAGAGAGGAGGAGGAGGGAGGAGAGGAGGAGGAGGAGGAGGAGGAGGAGGAGGAGGAGGAGGGAGGAGGGGGGGAGGAGGAGGAGGAGGGGGAGGAAGAGAGGAGGAGGAGGAGAAGGAGGAGGAGGAGGAGGAGGAGGAGGAGGAGGAGGAGGAGGAGGAGGAGGGAGGAGGAGGAGGACGAGGAGGAGGAGGAAGGAGAAGGAGGGGGGAGGAGGAGGAGGAGGAGGAGGAGGCGGAGGAGGAGGAGGAGGAGGAGGAGGAGAAGGAGGAGGAGAAGGAGGAGGGGGGGGAGGAGAAGGAGAGGAGAAGGAGGAGGAGGAGGAGGAGTAGGAGGAGACGGCGCCGCCCGCGGCGGTGGGGGCGAGGAGGCGCATCGCTGCCGCGCGGCGCAGGAGGAGAGCGCGCCAGGCCGAGCCCCCTGGCGGGAGCAGGGGAAGCACTGCGGAGAGCCCTCCCTTCGGAGTCTGATAGACCTCCTACCCTGACACGTCGATTAGTGAATTGGCCGTTTTCGGTTCGTGAGAGGGCGTCGCGGCCGTAATTTTTGCGGGTCCAGGTCCGTAGGTTTCGGTCCTAGGCCGTTTTCACTAAAGAGAGGTCTACTAAAGGGAGGTTTGTCCACCGCCGATCCCTAGAGGCATCTCCGGGTGATGGTGGGGAGGAGGAAAGGTGAGGAGGATGAGGATGCGGAGGAGAATGATGATGCTGATGACGATGATGACGATGATGACGATGATGACGATGATGACGATGATGACGATGATGACGATGATGACGATGCTGATGATGATGATGATGGTGATGATGATGATGATGATGATGATGATGATGACGATGACGATGACGATGGCGATGACGATGGTGATGACGATGATGATGACGATGACGATGATGACGATGACGATGACGATGACGATGATGACGACGACGACGATGATGATGATGCTGATGATGATGATGATGATGATGCTGATGCTGATGCTGATGCTGATGACGATGATGACGGTGAGGACCCTTCATTGAGGCGCCTCCTGCTCCTCCCGCTCCCGCTCCTCCCGCTCCCGCTCCCGCTCCTGCTCATCCACCTCCTCCGCCTCCTCCTCCCTCCTCCGCCCCCCTCTCCTCCACGTCCTGCCTCGGGGCTGTCTTGGTCACCCTCGGAACCTCTTCGGCCCTCTGGGGGCCACGTGCACTCATCCACGAGCTGTGCTGCGACGCGCTGGCCGGCAGGGTTGAGCGCTCCTGCGTCCTGCTGGGATTCTCTTGGAACGCCAGGAAAGGCCTCCGATGGGGGTCAGCATCCCCTTGCCGTCGCTCGGACGTCCATTTCCCGCGCATTTTTCGGTGTCGTGCGTGTTTCTTTTGTGCGTGTTTCTTTTGCTCGATGGTCCAGGATGCTCCTCGATGGTCATCGCCGAGAAAAAATGCACACGTCCGAGCGATGCCAAGTCACTGGCAGCGACTGGACGAGGGAGGCTGCCATCGCTCGGACGTCCGTTCCCCGTGCATGCTTCGGCTTCGCGCCTCGCCGAGGCAAAAGTGCACACGTCCGAGCGATGCCAGGAGGGGGGGAAAGCACGGGTCTGGACGGAGGTGCAGGCCGAGAGGCCCAGGTACGGCAGGTTCGTGTCGTGCCGACCCCAGCGTTGGTTTTTGACACCGCAGGAATCGTTCAACCTTGAACGATCGGCCGCTGCCGCAACGTCCGATCGTTCAACATCGATCGATTCTGGGTCGCCGGCGGCGTTCAACCTTGAACGCCCGCGCTGGGGTCGCCGCTGGTCGACACGACGCAAACCTACCGTACTCGGTGCCCACGCACATGCTACATGCTTGATATGCACACACATACAAAAGCGTGCATGCACACACGCAAATCATACGGTGTACACGTATATACCCAGACAGCGGGGTGGGTCGTGGGGCGGGTGGGACACCAAACAACAAAAACAACAGCAACAACACCACCAACAACAACAACAACAAAAAAACAACAAGACACGAACAACTACAGCAACAACACCAACAACAATAACAACGACACCATCAGCAACAACAACACCATCAACAACAACAACATCGACGACAACAATAATGACAACAGCAACGGCACCAACGACGGCAACAATGATGACAACAACAACAACAACAACAACAACAACAACAACAACTGTAACATCAACAACTACGGAAACAACAACAAACACAAAACACAACAACAAACAAACAAACAAACGACCGAACAAACAAACGACAACAACACCAACAATAACCCGCATCGCGGAATTCCACTTCAGCCTCGCACGCAGGGACAGTGAACGACCGTGCAGCCCCATCACCCTGAGAGATATAAATAAACACAGAGATGCACATGCATCCGCCACCGTGCCTCTTGTAGGGGAACAAAAAAAGGCATACACATAAAGACTCGGAGGTCCGCGCGGATTTCTCGGATCGGCGCTAGACCCCCCTCCCTGGCGCGCGGAGCGCGCAAGGGGCGGCGCCGGAGGCGCCGCCAGGGGGCCCCAGCGCCGAGCCGTGAAATCCCCGCTGGCCTGCGAGTTTTTATGTTTCTGTCACTTTTTGTTCCCCTATCCTGGTACGGAGTGCGGCCCCATCACTCTGATACATATATATATATATATATATATATGTATGTGTGTATGCATATATATATAAACATATACACACACAGAGACTCACACGCATCCGCCACCGTGCCTCTTGGCACGGAGTGGGCGTGTCCCCGGGTCCTTTGCCTCATCCTCCGAGCCTCAATCCCCGCTCCCGAGGCATCCTTCGCGGGCCCGGGCCCCCCGAATCCTCAGATCTGCCCCCCGGGCTTCCCGCGAGCCCCCCGGGGACTTCCCCACGTGCCCCCTTGGGGGGCTTCCCGCGTGCCCCGCGGGCTCCCCCGCAGCTTGCCGCGGGACGCTTTCGGGCCCGAGAGGCCCCGAGACGGGCCAGGCGAGACTCGAGAGCCCCCCACAAAGACGGTCCCAGAGTCCCAGAGGGCCCAAGACGCACAAGACGCCCCCAAGACGGCCAAAGAGGCCTCCGACACGCGAAAAGAGGCCTCCAAGAGGTCTCCCAATAGGGCCCCAAGAGGCCACAATCATTGACTTGCGTATTTGCTTTTGGCTTTTGAAGGATTGGGGCGTTCTCGCCTTTTCGGGTTCCTGGCGCTCCCAGACGGCCTAACAGGCCCCGAAGACCGCCCCAAGACGGCCCAAGAGGCCTCCAAGAGGGCACTATCACAGCCCAAGAGGGCCCCAAGACAGCCCAAGAGGTGCCCAAAACGGCCCAACAGGCCTTAAGACGGCAGGGGCCTATAGAACACGACCCAAACATCCGAGCCTTCCGCCCCAAGAGGCCCACAGAAGGCCGGAAGAGGCGCCCAGGAAGCCCCCCCCCACGAGGACCCCAAGAGGCTCCAAAAGGCCCCCGAAAGGCCCCAAAGAGGCCCCAAGAGGCCCCCCAAACGGCTCCCAACAGGCGTCTAACCTGCCTGCGAGAGATCCCAACGAACATCCAATAGGCTTCATGCACACAGCCCAGGCATGGTGACAGGATGGACACAAGGCCAGTCGATATGTATACAGATCTATACATACACACACACATACCCACACAAACATGCATATCTGCATGCATGCATGCATACATACATACATGCATACATGCATGCATGCATGCATGCATGCATGCATACACATCTATACACATACATACATTCATCCACAGGTGTATACATAAATGCGCGCATGCATCCAGACAGGCATACATCCATACATATAAAATGCATACATGCATACATAATTCCATAAGTGCATACATGCATACATGCATACATACAATCATACATGCATACATGTATGCATGCATACATGCATACACACATACACGCATACATACGTACACGTACAAACACAAACATACACATGTACACACATGCATACCCACACATGCACATAATTGCAAACACATACACATACGTACGCATACAGACGCATGCATGCATACATACAGTTAGGCGGAAGGCAGACGGACAGACATAGTACACACATACACCCAAACATACACACACATATATATGTATATACACATGCATGCCTACATACATACACACATGCATACAAACATACATGTATAGATACACATATATATATACATACATACACATACATGCGTACATCACATACATACACACATGCACACACTGATATGAACGCATGAATGCATGCATGCATGCACACATACATGCACACACATCAAGTACATCTTACGCATACAAACAAGCATACGTTCATGCATGCATGTATGCATGCATGCATACATACATGCAGGTACACGTACATGTGTAGATATAGGTATATGAGTAATGTGGCCGTGGCCAGGCACGTGCAAAAGCAAGCAGTGGCTGAACATATGAACCTGGCTGCGTAAACCACAGCTCCAGACATCACAGTAACATCTATGGCCTAGGTGCCCCAAGAACGGCTGTAGTCATCAACATCGTGACCGCAACTCAGTGTCTCACCTCATGCCAAACGCTCAGGCTGCTACTGATGCTGGGCTGGCACCTAGCTACTCTTGATATGTCATACCGCGACCCCCTGGACTTTCAATACAGTCGAGGTCCTACCAGAAGGAGCGTCTAATGAGGAACGAAGCCCCTCTGGCCCCAGAAGCGCCTAGGTGCACGAGTGATCGAGGAGCAAGCACGGAAGGACCCAAAGAACAGCGAGCCCCTTTCGAACCCAAAGCGGTCCTTACTTCAGCGCCTTTGACTTTATCAGCATCACCTTGCGCCTCGCAAGTTGTTCGGCGTCCTTCAGGGCAACAAGGCTTAAGAGCTGCAAAATACTTGGCCAACGACCGTACGACGAAAGGCATCTATGTACGCATTCACGGCTGTCGGGGGTATGCGCTGTTTTTTGGAGTTCGTGCCGGCCCTCCCTCCCTGGCGCGCGGGGCGCGCCAGGGCTGGCACCAGAAACGTAGACACGGGGCAACAGCGCCGATTCAAGAAAAACACGCGAACCTCCAAATTGTTCTGCTTACGGCAGGTGCGTACAGTGCCGAACCCGGCGTTGGTTCCTGACACCGCGGGGATCGTTCAACCTGGAACGACAGGCCGTTTCCGAAACGTCAGATCATTCAACATCGACCGATTCTCGGTCGTCGGCGGCGGGCAACGTGGAACGCCAACGGCCGCGGGGTCTGAACTGGTCGAGACCCCAGAGAATCGGCCCGGAGGAGGAGATGAAGCCAAATCCGCTCGAAAACGGTCCCTGGACTCCTCCTGGGGTCCATCCAGTGCAACGTTTCACCCCGAATATCGGCTACACGCAAGAGGTGACCCTGGGTAAGAGTGACCTGTGGTGCGCGGCTTTTTGGGGGCCGCGGGGAGATCAAACCTGGGCGCGCAAGCCGCTGCTACCGCTTCGTCTTCAGCCATCTGAGGGCCCATCTGTGCCCGCACCAAAGGTCACTCTGGCGAAAGGTCACTCTTACGTCTAGTCGAGAATATTGCTCTTCGGGGGAGGGCAAATCATGACCGGCGGCATGTGCGCGGCCCAGCGGGGGGGCCAGGGGCGTAATGAAATAAGAAGAGGCGCCGCGAAATCTGGGAAATATCATGGCCCCCGCCATGATATCCACCCCCCTAGTCATCACCCCCCTCTTTGCCGCCCCCGAGAATATTGCTCTGAGTACCTTAATAGTTCTGGGCCCCGGGACTACAGGGCCCCCCAGGACTAGAACGACCCCTCCCCAGGGCCCCTCCCCCAGACTACAAGGACCCCCCCCCGGACTACCACGGCAGCCCTCCAGGTATACAGGGACACCCCCCCCCTGGACTAGAAGGGCCCACACCTGAGGACTCCGGGCACGCGAGACCACGAAGATCAGCACATCACCCCCCCTGGACCCCACAGGACCCCCCCCCCGGACTACAAGGGCCCCCCCCCCCCCTGGACCACCAGCGCCCTCCCAGGACGACAAGGGCCCCCCCAGACTACAGGACCCCCCCCCCGGCCAACAGGGCTCCCCCAACCCGGACGGCAGGCCTCCCCCCCCCCCCGGACTACAGGACCCCCCCCCCTCAGGACTATTGGTCACACCACCCTCCTTCTCGGTGACCGGCTCGGACAAGTACGCCCCCATGCTGCCTGTGCGCTCGCTCTCCTCCTCCTCCTCCTCCTCCTCGCCCTCCTCCTCCTCCTCCTCCTCCTCCTCCTCCTCCTCCTCCTCCTCCTCCTCCTCCTCCTCCCCCCTCCTCCCTCCCCTTCGCTTCTCCGCTTCCTCGCCCCAGATCCTCGAACGTCTCGAGGCCGAAAGGAGGCGGCCACTTTCTCCACCACTGCGGGGCCCCAGGGCCACGGCAGACGAAACATGCGGGACGGCAAATGCCGTCCCCAGGGTCGGGGGGACATCGGCAAGTCTTGGGGCCCGATCCGGGCACGCGCTGACATGGCTGGCAGCCGAGTCTGGTTGGAGAGGACACGCGACGAGGACCCAAGACCCTCCCGGGGGCCACGCACTGCCACGTAGGAACGTAGAAGGCATGGGTCGCGAGGGCGCCAGATCCGTGGATCGGGGAGAGTACCCGCCCCCAAAAAAAAACAAGAGAAAAAAAACAATCAGTGGATGAATGAGATGAATAATGGGGAACCGATGAAGAGATCGTTAAAGAGATCTCATCGACGCAAACTGACCAATCCAAAACATCTGGTGGCCGGGCGCTCCTCCTCGTCTTCGTCCGAAAATCGAATAGCGAAATGTGCTATAATGTGTGGCCAGAATCTGGCATCTGGAGCCCTCGAAGGGACTCCAGGGACTTCTGGAGAACTTTAAACGCCCTTGCGCACCAGGTCTCAGAGCTGTGGGGGGAAACGACTGAGAGAGCAACCTACCTTTGAGATGGCAGCCGTTCTTGCAATGTAATCTGAACAGGAGCCTCCCGCTTGAAATTCCGCCGACCCTGGAGGCATCCACCTGTTCCCCGACCTGGTACGCCTCGCAGTCTGACGCCTTCCCCCCCTCGGCTCTGTATCCTGGGACCCATCACGCCTGTGCTGCTCAAACGAAGCACAACACTGACCCCCACCCTGGCCTCACCTGGCAAGCCACCTGGTCCGTACCCCCCACTCCGTGGAGTCATCGTAGTGGGACCCCTCGCACCTTTGTTTATCACCCAGATCCCACCTGGCCCCCACCTTGCACCGCCCCCCCCTGTGGACCCCTCATCTTGGGATCCCGCGCGCTTCTGCTTTTTTAAGCCCAAGCCTCACCATGCTCCCAACCGACCCACTCCTGGTGTAACACCTGGTGTGACACCTTCTTTGACACCCCCACTGCCTGGATCTCTCGTCTCGGGATCCCTCGAACCTCAGTTCTTCAGCCCAAGCCAGCCCTGACCCCCACCACCTGGCTCTCACCTGGCCCCCACCTGGTCTGGCACCCTGATGTGCCACCTTGTCTGGCACCCCCACCTCGTCGGCCCCTCACCTCGGGGTCCTTCGAGCCCACCCAGCCACCACCTGTCGCCCCACCTGGCCCTTCACCGTGCCCGTCTTCAAGCGCAGTTTACCAGCCTCGAACGTATCCCTATCCCTAAGATTGACACGCCAAAAGGCGATGACAATCTTAGCGATTCGCCCTCAAAAAATAAGGGAATCCCTCAGATTGGCATCGTGATGAGGAGGTGCCCAGCATAGGGATAGGGATATGTTCCAGGCTGGTAAGCAGTGGAAGGAAGGGTCGCACCTTGCGCTGCCTGCCCGCCAGCTGCTCGGGATGTGGAGCGCCGAAAGGGCGCGGAGAAGAGCAAGACGGCGCACCCCGCGTGCGGGCCGTCAGAAGGAGCAAGCACCCGATGCCTCGGCCGTGCGGCTCGATGCGGAGTCTGGCTTTCTCTACGCCGACGTCGCCGATGCGTTGCAAACGTCGCCGAGTGATGTATCGACGATGCATTGGCGATGCGTCGGCCATGCGGCGCGATCCTCCGACCCCATCTACTCCGACCCCCTCTGGGAGGCCTGGAGGAATGCAAAGGTGGCGGGCCTTCTCAGAAGGCTCAGAAATCCTCGGGTCTTCTGAGAAATTGCCTACGCCTGCTCCGACGACAGAGACGGCTTCTCAGAACGCCCGAGGGCCTCTAAGAGGCCCCGCTGCCTTCAGAGAACGCCTGCCCCTTCTCACTTCCGCCCCAGAGCGCGCCGCCGTAGAGAGGTCACCTTAGGGTTGAAGACTACCTGGCCGCCTTGCAGCCGGCCCCAGGACAATGAGTCCATCGAGGTCGGGTTTGCTCCGACTCGCCCCCCCCTCCTCATCAGCCTGCGGGTCCCCAGACCGCGTGGCGACGGACTGCGGAGACCGCGGAACCCCAAGAGACCTCACCGCACGGTTCGTCCACACGCGGCCTTGGGAACACGGAGACCCCGGCCACCCGGGACGTCCCCAGAGAACGACCCGAGTCCCGAGACCGTGAGGTCACATCGAATCCTACATGACTACTACGCGGTGTGGTCACCGATGATGATGCTGATGATGATGATGATGATGATGATGATGATTATGATGGTGATGATGATGGTGATGATGATGACGACGATGATGATTATGATGGCGATGATGATGATGCTGACGTTCAGAAGCATCATCATCATCATCGTCATGGTCATCGTCATCAGCATAATCGTCGTCGTCGTCGTTGTCGTATCGTCATCGTCCTGCTCATCCTCCTGACCATCACCATTATCATCATCGTCGTCGTCATCGTCATCATCATCATCATCGTCGGCGTCGTCGTCGTCGTCGTCCCCGTCATCGTCGTCATCAACATAATCACCGGCATAAGCAATAAGCAGACTCATCATCATCATCATCCTCATCCTCATCCTCATCCTCATCCTCGTCATCATCGTCATCGTCATTTGCATCATCATCATCATCGTCGTCGTCGCCGTCGCCGTTGCTGTCGTCAGCGTCATCGCCATCGTCATCAAATCATCCCCAGTATCAGCATCATCATCACGATGATAATCATCATCATCATCACCATCACCATGACCATCATCATCATCGCCATCGCCATCGGCATTATCATCGTAATCAACTTCGCTGTCGTCAGTGGAATCGTCATCCTCGTCGCCATCATCATCAGCATCATCGTCATATCATCATCAACCTGGTCGTCGCCATCATCATGATGATCGTCATCACAATCATCTCCATTGCCATCACCATAATCATCATCGCCATCGTCGAAGTCCTCATCGTCATACTCGCCATCATCAGCATCATCACCACCATCATGATCGACGTCGTCAATAGAATCATCATCGTCGTCGTCGCTGTCCTGGTCGGCATCGCCCTCATCAGCATCGTCATCGTCCTCGTTGTCGTCATCATCATGATGATTATCACCATCATCACTATTATCAGCAGCATCGTCAGCAGCATCACCATTATCGCCATCAACATCATCATGACCATCATCGTCGTGGTCGTCACCATCATCAGCATCGTCATCAGCATCATCATCATCATCATCATCATCATGATCAGCATCATCATCGTCATCGTTGTCGTCATCATCGTCATCGTCATCATCGTCACCGTCATGTCAGCATCATCATCATCATCGTCATCATCAACGTCGTCCCCCTCGTCATCATCATCATCATCATCACCTTCCCCATCCTCATCACATCATCATCATCATCATCATCACCGTAACCATCATCATATCGTCGTGGTCGTCATCGTCATCATCGTCACCGTCGTCATCATCGTCAGCTGCAACACCATCATTATCATCACCATCCCCATCATCATCACAATCACCATCAACATCGTCATCACCATCATCACCACCACCATCGTTAGCATCAGCTTCAGCATCACAACCTTCCTCACCATCCGCATCATCACCATCACCATCACCATTATCATCATCATCAACAGCATCATCAACATCATCATCATGGTCACCGTCATCGTCGCCGTCATCATCGTCATCGTCATCGTCATCCGCATCATCATCATCATCGTCGTCGTCGCTGTCGTCATCGTGAATCGTCATCGTCCTCACCGTCATCACGATCATCATCATCATCAGTATGGTCATCGTTGTCGTTACCGTAGTCATCATCATCATCATCATCATCATCATCACCATCATCATCATCATAACCACCATCATCATCATAGTCATCAGGTCCATCATCAGCATCAGCATCATCATCATAGTCATCTTCAGCGTCAGCATCAGCATCGTCATCGCCGTCGCTGTCATGATCGCCATCAGCGTCAACATCATGATTGTTGTCGTCGCCGTCGCTGTCGTCATCGTCGTCATCGTAATCGTCCTCGTGCCACACTGGGCGCAACCGTTGCCGCTCGAACCGAGGACCCTCCTCTGCTGCAGCTCTCGACGCCACCCCTCAGACCGTGTGCTGGCGCCAATGTGCGCTTGCCCACCGACGCCCTCCGCAGTACGACGGAAGCGATGAACGTTTGGGACACCACTGGCGTTCTGCTGGCGGAGCACATCATCATCATCATCATCATCATCAGCAGCAGCAGCATCATCATCATCGATATGTTGATGATCATCAGCATCAGCTTCATCATGATCATGATCATGATCATGATCATCATCGTCATCATAATTATAGTCATCTTCAGCGTCAGCATCATCATCAACATCAACATCTGCATCATCATCAACATCATCATTGTCATCATCATCATCATCATCATCATCATCATCATCAGCATCAGCATCATCATCATCATCAGAATCATCATCATCACCATCGTCATCCCCCGAACGGTCGAGCCGGGGGCCCTCCTCTGATGCTGCTCTCGACGCGACCCCTCAGCACATGTGTTGGCGCCAACGTCTGCTTGCCCACCGACGCCCGCCGTACAGTGGAGGCCAGTCCACAAGAAACTCCCACAAGAAACCCAACCCTGACACCCCAAGACGTCCACTGATCTTATGTGTGGGAGCGTAACACTTTCCATCGCAAAACTTTCGACACTCAAGAAACACAGGGCGCCGTACAAGCAAGCAGGGTGTTTCTGGGCATGGGTCTCCACTGTAGTACGACCGACGGAAGCGATGGACGTCAGGGACACAGCTGGCGTTCAGCCAGCGGAACTGAACGGGACAGACACGCAGTGGTCGAACACGCTTCCTGAGGATCATCGGTGCTCCCCCCGTCCTGCTGCTCTGGCCCTCCTCCTCCCAACCGCGCCCCCGACTCCACGTCCATCTCCGCCTCCTCCTGCACCACATCCCCTGCCTCTCTGGGAAGACCAAGAGGCACCGATACCGTTACTCCACAGACCTTTCCCGCGGCTCCTCCCGGCCGAGATTTTGATATGAATCCAGCGGTGGCGACGCAAGGGTAGGGTTATCGTTGCCCAGTCCTCCCCCGACTCTCGCTCCTCCGGAGCGAATTCGGCGGTGGCGGCAACGGACGTGCGTCGGCATCGGTACACTTTCCTTCCCTCACTCTCTCCATATCCATCTCCATCTCCAACACCATCTCCAACTCCAATTCCTCCTCCTCCTCCTCCTCCTTCGTCTCAGCAGTAGTAGTATTAGCATGTTGCGGCAACGCCGATCCTCCTCCTGCTCCTCCTCTTCCTCCTCCTCCTCCTCCTCCTCCTCCTCCTCCTCCTCCTCCTCCTCCCCTCCTCCTCCCCCCTCCCCCCCCCCTCCTCCTCCTCCTCCTCACCCTCCTCCTCCTCCTCCTCCTAACCCTCCTCCTCCTCCTCCTCCTCCTCCTCCTCCTCCTCCTCCTCCTCCTCCACGGTCTTCTTGGCGCTCTGGGGCGGCCGCAAGCGAGCGCGGCCGCGCTGGGCCACGGCGGGGCCCTAGCGGCCGAGGCAGCCACGGCCACAGCGGCGTGCCACTGCGCGCCTACCAAAGGAGGACAGCTCCCTGTCCTTTCTTAGAGGCCTCCTAGATGGGGTCGGAGTAGGTGGGGTCGGAGGATCGCGCCGCATCGCCGATACATCGGCGACGCATCGGCGATGCATCGGCGATGCACGGGAGTGGATCGGCGACGTGGGCGATGAATCGGCGCCGTGACGTGAAGCAAATCGGGCTCCGCATCGAGCCGCATCGGCGATGCATCGGCGATGCGGTGCGATCCTCCGACCCCCTCTACTCCGACCCCATCTAGGAGGCTTTGATTTCTGCCCCCCCGCGGCCAGGACACACCAGGCGGGGCAGCCGCGTGTTGGCAGGACTGGCGCTCAGCCACCCCTCCGATTTAGCTTCGCCCGGCCCGGTGCGCCCCAGCGGGGGCGGGAGGCAGGGCGGCGCATGAGGATATGCCCCGTGTTGGAGGCCTGGAAATGGGCACCAACACCAACACAGGGGATGGCCTCCACAGGGGGAAGATGATCCTCGATGTCGGTGTTGGTGGCAATATTTCGGCCACCTTGGAAGCCATAATATTACCACCATCACCGAGATCGGGATCTTCGTCCCTCGCTGGAGGCGCACCGCCGATCTTGGTGTTGGTGTCAACCTCTAGGCCTGCGACCGTGGGCCCCTCATGCCGCCCCAACCCACCTGCCAACGTCGCGGACCTGCCGCGCATGCTCTGCAGAGCGGGAAGGGCGATCGCTGCGGGGCGCCGGCCGGGCTTGCCGAGCGCAGCTCCTCCTCCTCCTCCTCCTCCTCCTCCTCCTCCTCCTCCTCCTCATCATCATCATCATCATCATCATCAGCATCATCATCATCATCATCATCATCATCATCATCCCCTTCTCCTCCTCCTCCTCCTCCTCATCATCATCATCATCATCATCATCATCCCCTCCTCCTCCTCCTCCTCCTCATCATCATCATCAGCATCAGCATCAGCATCAGCATCAACATCAGCATCAGCATCAGCATCATCATCAGCATCATCATCATCATCATCATCATCATCATCATCATCATCATCATCATGATCATGATCATGATCATGATCATGGTCATGATCATGATCATCATCATCATCATCCCCTCCTCCTCCTCCTCCTCCTCCTCCTCCTCCTCCTCCTCCTCGTCCCCCCCGCGCCTGTGCGCAGCAGCTCTGCCCGCGCCGGCGCGCCCAGCGCAGGCACCGCGGCCACCGCGGCTCTGTGCCCGAGCCCCGAGGCGACGCGCAACGCTCGGGGCGGGCGCGCCCGTTCCTCGCCCGGCCGCCCGCTGTCGCCGCTGCCTCGCCCTTCCCGCCCCCCCCCTTCCCTTGGCAGCGGGGCGGGCCCTCTCAGAAGGCTCGAAAGTCCCACGGCCTTCCGAGAGGCTTCCCGCGCCTGCCCCGAGGACAGAGAAGACTTCGCGGAAGGCGCGAGGGCCTCCGAGAAGCCCCGCCGCCTTCCGAGGAGGCCTCCTCCTCCTCACCTCCCCCCTCGCTCGCCGCCGATTCTCCCCCGCAAGACCTTCCTCTCTGGCTTTCGTGCCCGCCCCGCTAGTCTAGAGGCCCCCTGGATGGGGTTGGAGCAGATGGGGTCGGAGGATCGCGCCGCATCGCCGATACATCGGCGATGTATCGGCGGTGTATCGATGATGAACCTGCGATGCATCGTCGACGTCGGCGATGCATCGACGACGTCGACGTGAAGCAAATCATCCCGGATCCTTGCTTGACGGACCCGAGGCCCCGCAAGGGCCCCGAGAGGCCGAACACAGTGGGAAACCGCCGCGTCAACATTTTCGAGACGTTGGAGGGCTGGATCCCTCGCCTCCACTGCCCTTCTCCCCCTTCTCCACCCCTCTCCCGCCATCCTGAGCCTTCCCCCCAGGTGCCCTCCTCCTCCCTCCACATCTGCACACTCTGGATACGTCTCTAAGACGAAGCCAGGGCGAGGATCAAGTCGGGTGAAGGCGAATCGAACATCTCTGTGACCCGGCGGCTCTGGAGGATGTATCGGGCGCCGCGGATTTTCCAGAACGCTGTGAGAGTGTTCCGGAGCACTCTGGGACAGGGCTGGACCTAAACGTTGTTGTTCGTTGTTGTTTCGTTTTGTTGTTCGTTTTGCTCCTCTTGTTTTCCTGTACCTCCCTCCCAAAATCAAAAACAAAACACAGCCGACGTCCAGCAAAACAGCGTTCAGGTCCAGCCCTGCTCTGGAACCGACTTATCCTCGTCCTAGCCACGTCCGATCCTCCTTCCTCCACAGTTGCACAGTATAGATACGTCTCTTTTCTCTCCCCTGACCCCGCCTGGAAGATTGTCGGCCCTCTCCGCGTAAATCTTCTTTGGCACAAAGGATTTGAAACATTCATTTCCAACCATCCTGTGGTGCAGGGTCCGCACTTTGAAGAAACAGCGCACCGCGTCACCGGGCGGCCGCAGAGATGCACCAGCCAACACCATCGCAACGCAGTCGTCGCATCGCCACGGCATGGACTTTGCAGACCAAGTTGCGGGTGGGTGTGTGGGATGATTGCGCCAGCACTACTCTCTGCGAACAACAGTTCAGTCTACCGCACCGATCGCACCACATAATTTTCACAATACAGGTGGGACAGAACCAACTGCACCACATATGTGGCATCACATAGATTGCACTATTTAGATTCCTCCGTATATACTGCCAACACATAGTACTAGAGACACACCATGCTTGCCAACGTAAGGAAAACGAATGGGGAGGATGAGGAGGCGGAGGATGAGGAGGCGGATGAGGGTAAGACGTGGAAGGAGGGAGAGGAGGAGGAGGAGGAGGAGGAGGAGGAGGAGGAGGAGGAGGAGGATTTTCAGGATTTCCGCCATCACGTAGTGATATAAGGCTGAGCTCAGCACTTGGGAAACAGGCCGCGATCGATTCGATCCAAATTCTCGCGCCTGGCCTTGGTGATTAGGTGGGGGCGACACGGATTACCTAAGCCCCTGAGCTGGGCCAGACCGAAAAATCCGCACGACCCACAAAACCATAATCCAAGGTCTTTGTGATACCGAAGGGCGTGTGAGGGATGCGTCCAGCCACCTGCCACATGTAAACTCCGTCCAATGGGGGCTCGGGATAACTTGGCATCCACGGGCAGGGGAGGGATGTAAACGGTGTTCAACCATTCGGGCTCCTTATTCTTAGAACACGAACTGAAACACACCGAGCACGCTCTGCCATTTTCGGTCAGGGTGTGGGCAGAAGCGAAACGGGCCAGGGCAAGAGGTGGAGGAGGCCGAGGGGCAGGGGGACCAGGCAGGGCTAGGGGAGCCCCTTCCTTAGCCTTGACGGCCTGGGAAGCCTGGATCGAATCTAGCCCTGCTCTGAGCAAACGCCTCCTGACAAGTCTCGCCTTACGTTCCACTTGGTGCACTCGAAATCTGTCGGTCTCTGGGACCCCGGCCAGCTTAGCGGCCGCTCCTGCAAGCTCATCTACACATGTGCTGCCTATTATTAGCCAGCCGTCCCACCCCCGCTGGATTACTTCTCTGGCTGAGAGGTGGGACTCGAACTTCGACCCTGAGCAATGAGGGTGAGACCGATGCTGCGCCACAGGTCTGCCTGAGGGCCCTGAGGACAGTCGAACGCGGATGCGTACCACCCTCGAGCAACCTCGGCACAATCGGTAACGTAAACTATGGGCCCAGTAGTGAAACGGACAGTCCATTCAAAAGCCTGGAGCTCTCCCCTGGGGACCGTTTGGGCCGACCCCACCAGGGGCCCGAAAAAGTACGGGCCCAGCTCACACGGATCAAAACTCTGAAACGTGGCAACCGCACACCCTACTCTACGCAGCCTACTGTCGTGGGTATCTCTTCCCCCTGAGGCGTCCCCGAAAATAAAAATCGGCGAGTCCTGAGTCCCGTGGCCGAGACACCCAGGACCGAGACGCCCCTCGGGCAGATTTCCACCGAAAAGGGCTTCCTCCTGAGCAGGGGCGGGCACGCGAGTCCACTCACTGGGGATCACACCCCTCATCCAAAAACGCGGCCACGCCTCATGTTCTGCTTGAGCCTCCGCGACCAAGCAGTCCGATTGAGCATATGCGGCTGACCCTTGGTTTTTGCTGCACAGCCAATTGCGATGCAAAGGCGAGTCAGACACCTCGCCGCATCGCTCGCACAGGTCGGACGTGCTGAGATTGGCCGTGCGCTTGCGATCCTGAGTCCAGTAACCGCCCGTGGCGATGGTGACCATCAGCTCTGACAACTGACGCCCCTTCTTGGCATGGAGGAGCATCGCAATATATGCACGGTAACTCTGCCAGTCTGCGCCCTGCTCCAGGCCGCCTCCACAGAACAAGCCCGCTGCCTCCTGCCAGAGCTGCAAGTACAACGTGTCCTCGAACTCCTGCAAGAGCGGCCGCGCCTGATCCAGGCCAACAAAAGCACCTGTGGAAAACTCCCACGTATGCTCCGTGTTGCTCCTGTCACTCGGCACCTGCCACTCCGTAGCAGACTTCAAGTTCCATCCAGCTTGTAGCAAGTACACCACTGCAGAAGACATGGGCCCACGTACGTGGCGACTACGCTGGCCTGGAGGAACCTGCTGCAAACCAGACACTGTGCGAGACCACGCTAGTTGGATAGACGGCCGAAGGCGAGGCTCGCGCAAACAGCAATCCAGCCACTGCGTGATGCACAACCTCGGCAGTACCACACCTGGATCGGCACCAGGGAGACGGAGTGCAAGCAATGAGGTCAGACATCGTCCCCGTTTGTGTGACCCTGCGGCTGCACCCAACCTCCTCCTGTGACTGAGCATCACCGAGCCAAAGCATCCGAGGACTTGGTGGCCATAGGAGGCCGACGCCTGAGGGCCCGTCCTCTGGACCATGCTCGTGGTCGTCCACCTCATCGCAGCTGCTGCGAACCGCCGTAGCCGCTAGTGAGAGGCCCCCGACTTCTTCACCCTTTTGCGCGCCGTGTCCCTTCCATGGCGGCGACCTCCCGCTAGGTCGACCCCGAGATAGGCCGCCTGCAGCACCGGTGTGATCTCGATGCCTTTGCGACGCAGCCTCCGCGCCACCTGCACCGCGTCCTGGTGGATAGAGCACACCACCGCGAGGCGGCGGCGGCGGCGGAGGAACGAGAAAGAGGAGGTGGAGGAGGAGGGCGCGGAGGAGGAGCGAGCGGAAGGAGGAGCGAGCGCAAGGAGGACTCGAGGGCCCGAGGTGACGGCGCAGGTCTCCCAGGGCCGCGGGCCGCCCGCGGCCGCCGTCGCGCGCGCCGCGCGGCGGCGCGGGAGGCAACGGAGAGGGCGATGACTTGCCGTCGCTCGGACGTCCGTGTCCCGTGCACGTGTCGGTTCCGTGCGTGTTTTTGTGTTGCTCGATGGTCCTTTGCAAGCACATCGTCTTCGGCACCGCCTGATCCCGAGGCTTTACCTCCTCCTGGCCTTGACGTGAGGCCTCTCCTTCTGTCCCCCCCCTCGTTAATTCAAGCTTCGCGCGGCCCGCTTAGCTTCGACCGGAAGAGGTGCGCACTCGACCCGCGAATCAAAACAACGAAAAAGTGTTTTTGTTGCTCGATGGTCCAGGATGCTCCTCGATGGTCCTCGCCGAGAAAAAATGCACACGTCCGAGCGATGCCAAGGGAACGGCCTGAACGCCCACGACCCTTCTGAGTCCAGAGTGGTCCTTGCTTCAGGGCTTCGACCGTGGAGGGCACAAAGCACCAAATCATCCATCGTCCGAAAGAGAGCAGCGAGAGAGAGAGAGAGAGAGAAACAAACAATCGGCGGTGGACAAACCTCCCTGTAGTAGACCTCCCCTTAGCGAAAACGGCCCGGCCCGCCGCCGCCCGCCAGGCCAGCGAACGCCACGACGACCGGCGGCGAGGCGCGGCCTGCCGGCCGCCGCCCGGGCGGGCCAGCGGCGGCGAGGCGCTGCGGGCACCGGCGGCCGCAGCACCGCGGGGGGTCGCTGGGGGAGCGCGTCGGGGACAGCACGACGAAGAAGAGGAAGAAGCATCAGCATACGAAGCACACACCCGTAATGATACGACGAACAGCATTGATAGCACAAAACAAGGCGAATCATACTGGAAGGCGCAGTGATGCGGATACGAATAGTGGACCAGGGTGAACACCGGGGAGACCGCCGACGAAGACGGAACCGAGACGCCCCCCCACACACCCAGCCGCTCCCCTAGGAACCCTCAACCGTGCTGACCCCGCAAAGCGGGCGTAAGCCAGCTACGTAGGCCGGCCTTCCGTCAGGTGCGCCCTCAGGAAGATCACCAGGAAGATCGCCACAAGCCGTGAGGCCCTCGGCGGTGGAAGCAGCTAGTGCCCGCGCTTCTAGCTCGGCGGGCCGTGCACGAACATCTCGCCGTGCTCCATTCTCCGCACGGAAGATGCGATCAGGGGCACGGGTGGGCCCCGCCTCGTGCAGGTCGCGCTGGCAACGACCGTCCGCGCATGCTCCACAGCCGTTGCGATGGCACCGGTGCGTCGGACGACCTGTCGGGGGCAGGTGCCGCGGGGGACGACGTGGCCCCCACACGCTCGGCCTCGGCCGCCGCAGAGGCCGCGCCTCGAAGGAGGGCGTCCTCGGCGTCCTCGGCGGCCCTCCTCGCTCCGCCCCGTGGGGGCTCCTCGAGCCCCGCGCCGCGCCAGGGTGGCCGACCTGCGCGTGCCCCCGCGCCGACGCCGCCCGCGGCTCCTCCAGGTCCAGCTCCAGCGCCAGGGCCTGCACGCCGGGCGCCTCGGGGGCCGAGGGCGAGACGTCCTCGGTCTCCGCGCCGCCAGGCAC